GTGAGGGGCGTAACATTTCCGTCTCACGCTTGAGGTATTCGGCCAATCACAACACACTGGATAGGTGGCCAATCACAGCACACCTCGCTTTTTTAGAACGATGAGCTTTGTAAAAATCGATGCGTTTCAGAAAGGCAGGGCATAGAGGAGAAACAATAATGTACAGTATGTGGAAAATAATGTATTTTTGAACCTTAAACCGCATAAACACATTTCATTACACCAAATACACAAAATAATGTTCTTTTTAGCAACGTCATATGACCCCTTTAAAAGCATTGAGAGCAAATTTTCTGCATCACTGTCCATATGTTTGTTCTTAAGCTTTTACCTAGTAGACTGGGGTTTGCAAATCTCCAAGGCTCGTTGTATGTTGAATACTGCGGATGGGAATAAGGACTGCCAGAGAAATCTCCTCCTGAAATTCAAGGAAAGACAATAGAAGTGTTAGATATGCATGTAGAATTGCACAAACTTTTCCAATTGCAAGTGGATTGTACATCCTATACTGTGTAGGAGCCTAAAAGGTCCAATTGGCTGGGTGGAAGTGTCGATTTGTGACAGTTTTTCTCCTCCATTGCTTCAGTGTAGTTTTCCCCTTATCTCCCTCTCTCTTTCTCTTTCTCTCCCTCTTTTCCCTCGTTCTCCCTTTCCCTGGGGAACACTTTCCCTTTGCTGGCTGTCACAAAATCAGAGGCCCCAGCTCTCTCTCTCTCTCTCTTTCCCGCCATCTCTCGCTCTGTCGGTTCTGCCTGGCTGGTTTTGTGCCCCCTCCCCTGTGTGTCAGCCCCCTGCTGAAAGAGAGAAAGCAACAGAACCACAGAAAAGGAGAGGAGAAATAAGCAATACACTCTGGGATAAAGCGAAGGAAGAGGATCCAGGAGATATAGGGAAAAACGAAAAAGCACTACTAATCAATTTTTCATAAAAGTGGCAGTGAAATATATAAATACATCATATCTGAGAGCTGTAAACAAGCAGTTGAGGCATTTCTTTTAGCTTGGCAGGTCAACCTATAACTTTATCATCTTTCTTTGTACTTTGATTATCATTAAAAGAAAATAATCTGAATGTACTCAAAGAAACTGTTTAAATACAAGATGTTCAAAATGCTAGCTTGATTGTAAGCAAGCTAACAAGATCATATCAGGAGTACAGAAATGTCACACTGTGAGGGATTTTCAATTACAAGAAAATAAAGCAACAGTTTCTTTTAATTAAAGCAACAACATCATATGTATTATTCTTATATATAGGTTAAAATAGCTAGCTAGTTATATAGCAGAAGTTAATCTTATCTCATTTAGACTTTGTTTGTACTGATTGTTTGTACAGAGAATGAAGGGAAAGGAAAAATAGAAAAAGAAATGAAAAAAGTGCAGATTTCTCAGCAAGCAACAAATGTAATCACAAAACTGCACAAAATGAGAGTTACACAAAACATGGTTTCCAAGTTTCTAATAAGACTGTTCACACTGTAAGCACAATATGGAAAAATGACAGCAATTCAGAGCATACAGTATGTGATATATAAACTGCAGAATGGGACCAATCATCGTGTGTGTGAGGCTACACAATCAGTACGTTATTTTTTTTTTTTAAATGAATACTTTTTTGTCAATTTAATGCAATTTCATGCTGAATAAATGACAAAGGTACAGAAATATGTGAAAAATGCATAACAGTCTCCACAAAAATACTAAACATCACAACTGTTTTCAGCATTGATGATGATAAGAAATGTTTCTTGAGCACCAAATCAGCACTAATTTCTGAAAGATCATGTGACACTGAAGACTGGAGTAATGATGCTGAAAATTCCACTTTGATCACAGGAATAAATTACATTTTAACATATTCAAATAGAAAATGGTTATTTTAAATTGTAATTATATTCCACAATATTACAATTTTACTGTTTACTTTTGATCAAATAATTGTGCATAAGTGTCTTTCAAAAACTTTAAAAAAAAAAGTTTGATCTTTTACTTTTAGCTTTGTGTTAGGACTTTATATGTAATTTCATATTTCATATACACTGAAAAAAATGATTAATTGAATTTACTAATTTTTTTTTAAGGTAAGTGGTTGCAATCAATTTATTTTAGCTACATTTAAATAAACAAATATAAAATGTTTGCGACCACTTACCTTAAAAAAATTTAGTAGCATTTTTTTCAGTGTACAATATATAATTTTACAGAAAATGAGATTTGTGTACATGGATATAAAAAGGTTCACACATACTGTATATTATATGAAAGAATAGTGATGAATGCAAAATGATTCATAAGATTGTTGCGGTCAAAGTAAAGTTTTAAGTGTTCTTCGTTTTAAAATTTTGTTCTGAATTTAATCAATTCCAATATATCTTCATGAACACAGAAAATTTAAATAAATAAATAGTAGAAGGTAAATGCAGAGCCAATCCTCCCTATACGCAAAGTATGCAAGCTGCGTAGGGCCCTCGAAACACCAGGGGGCCCCCTTGCTCTCAAATGAATTACACATTGCATTGTTTTGTGTTTTATGGTTAAATTAAATGTCTATAAACTTAACAGATAATATCCTGGCATTTTTCTTTCTTACAGCGTACAGTAGTGTTTTTACACTTATTTTATAATCAGGGATGCAACAATATTAAAATTCTAGCTGATATGATGCGGCAATATAATTTATACTACTTCATTTAAAAAAAAATAATAGAACACACTAAAACATAATAAAGTTAATTTAGTACCATTATCATTAATAAAGTAACAGTAATACAGGTTGCAGAACGTTTATCAAGAATTAAACATTTAGCTTATTTTTAATGCAAAAAGCAGACTCTGAAATGCTCTGCTGTGCACAACAACATTTCTGATAATTTTATTTTCTGATAAATTTCCTCATAATTTGCTCACCCCCATGTCATCCAAGATGTTCATGTCTGTCTGTCTTCAATCACAAAAAAATTAAGGTTTTTGGTCATCCGAGATGTCCATGTCTTTCTGTCTTCAGTGGCAAAGAAATTAAGGTTTTTGAGGAAAACATTCCAGGATTTTTATCCATATAATGGACTTCAATGAGGACCAACAGACCACCAAAGAGCTCTACACGATCCCAGCCGAGGAATGAGGGTCTTATCTAGCGAAACCATCGGTAATTTTCTAAAAAAAAATAAAAATGTATATACTTTTTAACCACAAATGCACATTTGGCTTTCTTTGCACGTTCGCTTTGTAAACACTGGGTCGGTACTTCCGCCTACATCACACGTGACCTTTCCAACGTGACGACGTAATGTGTGAAGTCGAGCTAGTGCAAGATGAGCATTTGTTTTATTTATTTTTTAGAAAATGACTGATGGTTTCGCTAGATAAGACCCTTATTCCTCGGCTGGGATTGTGTATAGCCCTTTGAAGCTGCACTGAAACTGCAATTTGGACCCGTTGGTCCAAAAATCCTGGAATGTTTTCCTCAAAAACCTTAATTTTTTTGCGACCGAAGAAAGAAAGACATGAACATCTTGGATGACATGAGGGTGAGCAAATTATCAGGAAATTGTGTACTTAAAGAGAAGGCGCTCTTCAAGAGAGGGTTGTTTTAAAGGGTTAAATTTTGCTATGATAATGTCCCTTTAAGTAAGTTGGGCATTAATCTTAAATATTCAGTCTATATAAGTATTAAATAATCCTTTTTTTTTTTTAGATTTAAACCATCATTTAGTTGCCAATACTGCTAATAAAAAAAAAATATATATATATATTAAAAAAATATTAAAATATCCTGATAACCAGATTGAGGATGCATATATTGTGTGTTAAACTTTTTTGTGTGTATTATATTGTGCTTCCTCTTGTTTCAGAAATGCATTCTAATAAATATTTTTTTTTAAATCAATTAAACTCCAATTATAAAACATTTGTTAGACCACATTTTACAAATCACTTGATAACTAACAACTTATTTCAAGACCCTGAAATACTACAGGGTGTCAAACAAGTTGGAATACAATTCTCCTGCTTATTTCAAGTCTCTAGTAGTACTATACAGCAGTGACCATAAATAATATGATATTATATTATATTTTATATAATGTTTTGCTTAGAATATAAAATTGGTAAAATACTTCAGTGCAGGCATGTTAGTCAAATATAATTTATGGAATATGTCAAAGCTTTAACCCGCATAAATAAAAAAAATCAACTCGCAGCAACACTTTAAAAATAGTTAAATCCCGCGAGAAACCCACAGACCTGGCAACCCTCCTCTTAACTGTTTTTATTTCAACAAGAAATATAAGTGTTTTTCAGTTCATTTCAAATGATGTTGGATTAAGAAAAAAAATAATCAGGTTGTATTATTAAAGTCACATATGTATCTATGTGAACAGTATTCAATGCCATTTACATGCTTTTGTGTTTGTGAATATGAATATCTTAGTGAGAGAATTCATGTGTATTTCTGTAATTCTGAAGTGGCCTGCAGATAAAAAAAAAATAGCTCAAAGAAAGGAGGCCGTACCACTGTGTCCCAGTAAACTATTACTGATACTTTAAACTATTACTAATATCACTGACTTACAATGGAGTTTAGACCTGAGACCTGAGAATCTTTTTCCCTGATAAGATGTCAGCGGTCATGTCATGTGGATTTTCTATCAGTTGTTTAGAATCAGAACTGGCGATTTGCAAATTAAAGTGAAGTGGCATGTGACCCATACTCTGAATTTTTGCTCTGCATTTAACCCATCCATTTATGTACCCTTACTAACCAATTTTCAATTAAAGGCTAGTGTGATTTTTAAAACTGACAGAAAGAGTTCACATTGCAAAGTGAATGAAGCATGGATCTATGCTGTAGCTTATTAAATCAGATAAGTGACATCTTATGAGCTTGGTAAACTAGCGACATCCTGTTTAACCGTCCCGATTAATACAGCCATCTCGCTTTATGTCAGATCACAAATCTGCCTTTGCCCCGGTAATAGGGCCTCTGGTATAATTATGCACTGATGTATGACAGGATCTGGTAGTCTCTACTGTTAGTGTACAACATACATGCCCCTGTCTCCCTCAGGCCTGATTCACTAAAGAAAGGGGCAAATTCAGAGGAACTGAAAAGAAAATCAGGTCAGTGAAATTGAAAGTTCAAAAAATTTAGCTCTTTAGTCACAGGTAACTGATCCGCATGTCAATACCTTTTAGACTGTTGATTTAGAGTTCATTAAAAACAAATATGGCTTAATAATAATATTAATGAGAGATTTAACTCGTTTTATCTCTCCTCTCTCTCTCTCTCTCTCTCTCTCTCTCTCTCTCTCTCTCTCTCTCTCTTTTGTTTGGATGTATAACTGTATTAGGCTACATGACATGGCTGTCAGAGTGAATCATCTCTCAGTCCGCACATGGTGCTGATCTGTAGACTGCAGCCCATTCATCATAATAAACACCATCACCCTCAGTTCATCCATCCCCTTCAACACAGCCACCGCTTAAGCCTCCGTTCGGTCTGTGAGGGGGAGGGAGTGAAACTTGAATACTGTATCAGAGATAAAAAGGGCGATAGAGAAGACGAGAGAAGGTATAAGAGACTGAGGCAGGGTGAAGAATAACTCAGGATGGGTACAAAGGAGGGTTAGGATTGGAACAGAGGAAAGGAAAATTTACCCATCAGTTGATGTGCAACATAAGTACTGTATGACTTTGAATGAACACATTATTCAGCATTTGCAGATTCTATGTTTGCAGGTATAAATTGAATGAGATGTGTGTTCATAGGTCATATATCAGTCAAGAAGACTCATATTATAATGCATATTATGAATATATACACAGACAACCTTTGAGTCTTTGAGTGAGTCAACAGATTTATTCAAAAGTGCTAATTAATTCGGGAGCAACAAAATGAATGTTGCAACTGTGTCGAATAAGTCATTGAATCATTCACACAACTAGGGCTGGATTTGTAAAAATACAATTCTTCTTAACTGCTAGTTTTCTTCTTATTTTCTAAATTAAGAATAAAGTTAAGAATATTTTGCATTCCCAAAAACATTTCTTAAGAATGTTCTTATCGTTTTTCTTAAGATTGTTCTAAAGACTAAACTTGAATTCCTGAAAAGAATGCTGTTAAAAGTCATCGTAAATAACCTCTTGAAGTTAGGATAACGTACAACTTGTCTTCAATTCTCAAAGGTAATATGTTTAATGAATTTATTGGTAAACATTACAACAAAACACTAGCTACATATATATATTTTTTATACAGACTTCTGTGTTATCTGATTGTATGGCGGTTCTTGCAGAAGACTTTCTGATCAACTTAAAAAGAAAGCCTTTGAGGTGTTTTTCAGAGTGTCTTTGGCAAGAATCACCATACAATCAGATAACCCCAAAGTAATTTATTTATTAAGAAAAAAACTTTTTTGAGAACATTCTTGCAAAGTTTTTAGAAATTATTTTAAGAAATTTCTTAACTTCTCTCTAAAGCAGATTTCCGTGAATCCAGCCACTGTTTCTCTCATAAACATTGATTCTTTCAAAAACGAAACATCACTTACGTACGTTGTTCAGACACACACAATGGTTAGTTCTGCTTTGATGCTGTTTGGAACTATTTTACTTTGTGGAGGAACAACAGACAAAGTACATCATGTCTACTCTATACTCTAAAATTCAAGTTATTGAATATTAACCTTGTTCATTGAACTGTTGTATGAAAGCAATGTCATACTCGCAATCATGCCATTTTTCGAATACAATGTCTTCAGCCAAAATGCAGTGATATTGCTTAATATACAAAAAGGGGCATGCTGTCACAAGCATTGGGGCAAGTTGTCACATTTGAATTTACCTTTAAACATTTCAGCAATATGTTAGCAATGGACAATGCATGAAGCAGCAAAAATATAAAAAGTAACATACAATTTAAAAAAAACATCATATATGATCACTTGCCCCAATGAAAATGTACCTTGCCCGGACCTGACGCAGTTACACACACAGTCTCAGACTCTCTGTTCTGCTGGTTGCCATGTTAGGGGGTTGTCCATGTTAGGTGACAGGAAGACATTAGTGAAGACTGGATACTAATCCACTCTGGGTCAGTGGACAGGGCAACAGTGAGGGACAGAGAGAGAGATGGACTCTTCAGAGGAAGAACAGACAAGGCCTAGTCCTCTGAGAGACGTTGTCAGAAGAGAAAAGAATGAAAGAAAGAGGGTAGACAGGAAAAGATTTTGCTCAAAAAAAGAGATAAAATCATTGGGGGGAAAAATGGTGTATGTGTAGCAGATGCTTGTGTCACTTCCTGATCACATTTCCTTTTCTATAAACTAAACAAAAGAGACTGCCCAAAATAATGTTTTTAAAAAAAAAAAATTGTTTCTCTTTATATATATTTTTAATCATTTCTGCATTCATGATTTGCATGATATCATTTGTTAATTGATAAAAAATTGATAGTCATCATAAATGTAAAGTATAAAATGTTAATTTGTGATTTGCCAATAGGGGGCGCCATTATGCAAACATGAGGTACCAGTTCCATAGTCTTTTCACACAGTCCATTATAAGACGAGCTCTGTTTGTAATTCATTCTGGCTTTCTCTCCTTCCACACACACACACACACACACACACACACACAGTCGAGACGTACAGGTTTCGCTCTACCTTGTCAGATGGTGCACAAATCCCAATTCCATGATTCCCTCGTTAGGGCTCCTGTCCAAGCAGCTCTTAATTAGCGCTCCCTTACTCCCAAATGGAGTGAGTGAGTAAGGGAGAGGAGGAGACGTGTATATAGTAATTACAGGTCTCCATCCACTCCCTCTGTCCCTTAGGATATAGAGTCTGAATCTGAATCACTGAGCGCTGTTTAACACGTCTGATAACATTCTCATCTCACTTCTGAGCTGCCCACAGCAAGCTGATCTACAGTCAGGTGGTTCTAATTCATGTTCAGCACAGCTATAATACAGAGAGAGCCTAGCAGATCTCAGATCAGCACTTCAGTTGGTAGTAGACTGGAAAGAATCTAGTATGCATCTGATATCTTCATGGTATGATAAAAGTCTTATATCACAGTAATGGTTTGTGGGTATATGTATAATAGTAATGGTATATGTTTCTTCAACTTCTGGCTTTTTTATGAGCCAGAGATTGATTTTTATTTTATTTTTCTCTCTCTCTCTTTTTTCTATAAGAAGGTCACATTAACACTGCTTTGGAAACCTATTACCATATTTTAGACTTTTTTTTCTACTTTCAAATTCATTTTACATAGAAATCAAATTATGCATGATGTGTTAATATATTATTTCATTGCATTTATTTTGAATACATTAAGTGCTAGCTATGAAATGGCAAAAGAAGACAAAAAGCCTCTGCATGTTAGTTCCAAAATGTCAAAAATTCTGCCATAGTCATTTCCATTTCCGTGAGATTTGACTAGTTTAAGCCTTACATTTTTTTGCTTGTAGTTTTTATTAGCATTTTTGTTTTTTATCCACTAAACAAAAATGGTTTCTGCCACGGAATAAAAAATAGAAAAAAAAGTAATTTTAACTTTTTATCTCACAATTCTGACTTTTTTCTCGCAATTACGAGTTTGTTTTACTATTCAGATTTTTTTTTCTTTGAAGTCTTCTGCCATGGAATAAAAAAATAAAAAGGTAATTTTCTCATTTTACAACATTTTCTCTCACAATTTAGATTTTTCTTTTCAGAGCTGCGGGTTTATATCTCTCAATTGCGAGTCAACATTTTACAATACTGACTTAAAATCTTAGTCTTAAAATTTCAGCGTTGATTTATAAGTACATTGTTAACCTTTTTTAGCGTTTTTTTTTTTTAGCGTCGAAACAACAGCTGATATTATTTCAAACACATTTCAGCATTGAAGGTCATCATGTGCTGGCTTGGAATTGATCGCTTTGATAAGCAAACATCTGGGAAAACTACTGTGAAAACTACATCGTTTTTTTCCCCCCATATAGTTTGCTTACCAGACACAAGTGGATACGATTGAGGTCCTGCAATGGTGGAACCCAGCTCTGCTCCCGTCTGATTGGCCAAGCTGTGCTTCATCTCCTCCAATCCGCCAGCCAAAGACGCCATAGCCGAGTAATCGGATGTCTATGGAGAGAGATTTCATTAGATGGCTACAATGGAAGAAAATCAACTTCATGAAATTACTTTGTATGTTAACCCTCATCTTTGTGTTTGTGCTCCACAATTTGTGAATGCACACAGGTACGTAGTCAACAGTAATGAGTAGTGGTGGCGTACATCCAGGTGATGTATGTGGCCGACCTCAGACTGACCCCGTTTGTGCGCTTTCACGATCAATTACTTACAATGATCTCTGTCCCACCCCACACCCACAGTGATTCATCTCCATTGGCGGTAATGGGGTTTGTCACTCAGGTGTGGATGTGGTTTGATGGCAAAGTTTGGGAAGTGGATGTCGCTTCTGTTTTAGTCCGGGAGGAGGTTATTAATAACCCTGTTTAGGAGTGAATTAAACCCCAACAAAATCCTGATGCAGGGCTCACAAAATTTCAAAATCCCTGGTAGCCCTTCGGGCAGGCATTCTTCAGATTTTGGTAGCCCAGAATAAATTTAACTAGCCCGAATAAAAGAGACAGCTGAACTTCCGTCCGGACAAATCAGCATGAACAAAAACTTCGGTGATTGTATTTTTCCTTCAAATAACAAGTCAAGAGAGTAGGGCTGCAAGGGATGACACAACTCATGTTTCAGATCGTATTATGAATTTTGAGTAACAGATTGGGTCATTTTTTTGGATGAGCATCAGCTGTTCAAAAAAAGTTTCTTTATTATCTAAAGAACACTATAAGTACTTCTTCGATACCACAGCAAAAACTAGTATCATAACTAATAAAAGTCTAAAATTTTTAAAGACAAGTGAACTGTCAGTAATAAAATACAAAGAAGAACAAACAATCAAATTTCAAGCATAGATAAAATAGAACAAAGGCCATTAGTTTTTTTTTTCAGGTACAGACATTTTATCACTGTATAAATGAGATATAAGTTAATCTTTATTGAAAGTTGTGTTTTGTTGTTTGATTAACATTAGTGACACAGACAGCAGCAGGTTTTTATAGGCTTCTGTCCCTTTAAGAACGATTGCACGGATCTCATCTCTATACACATGCGATTTCTTTCTCCATTGTTTACGCTCACGTAAGACATAACCGTCTGTGTTTACGAGAATACTTGCGAATAGACGGCTATTTTGAAAGAATTTTGTGTTTATGTGTCCGTTCAAGCTCAAGAAGATGCGAAAGAGGAATCAATTCTGTGTTCACACGCTGTATGAAACGTGGCTCTCTGTGTGCGCGGTTTGAATGAGTGCACACAGAAAACGAGTACCGAATTGAGTTCTCCTTCGCCTCTTCATGCGCTTCAATGGCTTGAATGTTTAATTTGGCAACATGTGCAAATGATCAACTACGATCTGTTTCACCCCTACAAGTGAGTGAACAATGCTAATCAAGGAAGGGATTTTATATCACTATTCAAGATGGCCCATCTGGCAGGGTGGTGATGCATTTTGGTTGCCCGACTGCCCGAAGTGATTTTGTGAGCCCTGTGATGCTACACCTTCCCCCTGCTGTTACTGTACAGTTGCGTCATAACAAGCTATTACCATCCACTTTAACATTCCTGTAAATACATTTTAAGCTGCATGTAAGCTTGTGCTCTTTTACTGGGGATACGAATCCTCTGTCCACTCAGAACAGGTTCCATTTAAAAAAAAAAAAAAATACAAGAACCACGTAATTTGATTTCAGGAGGAGTTTTGTGGATTTTAATCCATGCCTGCCCATCTGTATTTGTACTCCTAAAAGTTACACATTTAAAATTTGCAGCCATTCTCTTCAGGGAAATGGTCAAATGAGTCACTCAACTCAATGAATCAGTCAAAGTGATTCTTCACTGAACCACAGCCCATCAAAATAGGGGTGCTAGAGGCCATGGAAAATTTCATGGAGAAAAAAAAACATTTACATTTATTTCCCTGACTATTGATAACTGAATAATTTCCTTTGGCGTTTTAGTTTAAATTGATCAAAAGTGACAGTGAAGATGTTTACATTGCTACAAAAAACTATTTTAAATAAATGCTGTTCTTTTAAAGGGGTCATATGATGCGATTTCAAGTTTTCCTTTCTCAAATGAGCCTATTTTCAAAAATAGTGGAGTGTTCCTTTAAAGACTGGAGTAATGATGCTGAAAATTCAGCTTTGGAATACATTTAAAAAATGTAAATTGTAACTGTAATGTAGCTTTAACATATATGCATGTATATATGCAGCCTTGGTGAGCATAAGACTTTTTTTCAAAAACAGAAAAAAAAAATATCTTACCAACCCTAAACTTTTGAACAATAGTGTGACTAAAGTCTATTTATTTAAGTATGTATGTATGTATGTATGTTGAAATTGTTAATAAAACTGTAAGTCTTCACTAGAATTACAACCGAAAACCACAACTTTTAAATCCCTATCTAATATACGAGGTAAGCAGAGTGTTTGTTAGTGTGTGTGTGTGTGTGTGTGTGTGTGTGTGTGTGAATGTATGTGTGTATCCCAGTGACCCCTTAAACACCTCAGTGCTCATCACCAGCGCAAGGGCAGTAGACTGTGACTTTACCAATCACAGCTCACGCCGTCCACTTCCTCTCTCTCTCTCCATCCCTGACTCCTTTTCACTGTCTATTTCTCTGTTTCAGTCATTCAGTCTGAGAGGCATTTCCTCTCTATTTATGCGGCTCGCACCCGCCCCCTCATCATGTGTGTATGTAGATCGGGAGGTTAGCGCTAGTAATTGGGGATTATGAAGTTTGGCCCTGCCTCTGACAGCAGCCTAGTGAAGATGGATGATTCTCATTTTAGCCTGTAAATGTTGTCAATTCTGAAGCTATGCAACCCATCAGAGCCCATGATGCACAAACACACACACACATCTCACATATAGACGCAGCACACACACACACACACACCACAGCTGGGGCAAAGATTGGAGAGAGGCCAGACGTTGAGAGAGAGAGAGAAATAGTGATCGAAGAAAAGGTGTAAAGGAATGGGGATGGAGATGAAAAGAAGAAACTCAGAGTAAAAGAGAAAAATGGAAACTTAAAAAAAAAAAAAAACTCATTGATTTTGACTAAATAACAGAGTAAAAGAGAAAAATGGAAACTTAAAAAAAAAAAAAAAAACTCATTGATTTTGACTAAATAACAATTGCCTGAAACTTACTGGAGTTCCATTTCAAGGGTATTCCTTGCTCTCTCAATTTCTCTCTGGGGTCACAGTTTTCTCGGGGGTCATTTTTGACACAGCCTCTCTGTAATGGCTCTCCTCTCTGCGCACATCAATAACAGATGAGGCCCCTAATCGCGCGACACCAAAATAATTTCACCCCAACCCGCAGCCGCATTTACATAATAGTATTTCCTCTCAGACGCTCTTTCTCTCTTCCATTCCCTCTATCTCCCTTCCTCTATTTTTCCCTCAGCTTGTATGTATTGTCTCTTAGAAGAGCCTGTGAACTGCACTATGTGTGTGTGGGACTGAGAAAGAGCGAGGGAGGTATTTAGCAGTGCATGCAGTATTAAATGAGCCTGACTGACAGGGAGACATTTATTGGTGCCGCGGCTCTCAGCATGTCTAACACACACACTCACCATTCTAAATGCTTTATTTGAGACCACATTGTTTCTGTGCTTTTTTGCTGAAATCTTATATATAGGGGGCATAGTTTTACACAAAAATGGAGATTCTATCATTATAACCTCTTTCCAAAGCTGTATGACTTTTGCGGAACACAAAAGAAAATTTAGAAGAATGTTTCTGCTGTTTTTGTCCATAAAATCAAAGTGGGGTCCAAAAAAAAAAAAAAAAGACTGACTTTTCACTGACGCATACACACACAAATCTTCTTTTATGTTTCGCGTAAGTAGTCATTCTTTGGAAAGACATGAGCAAATGAAAATGCTGTCATCATTTCCTCACCCTCAAGTTGTTTCAAACCTGTATGAGTATGGAAAAAATACTATGGAAGTCAATGGCAACCAGTAGCTAGTTGGTTACCAACGATGTTCACAGAATTTTCATTTTTGGGTGAACTGTCCCTTCAAGTTGTGTTGACAGCACTGTTACAAGAAATATATTATACAAGTGTTAAAAGTGTCATTTTATGTAACAAATTTGATATAAATATACTTCTGTCAGGACCACTATCGTCAAAATGATAGATACTTAGCATAAAGTTTGGTTTGGCGGTATGGTTCTGTTCTGGGCAAAAACCTCCCTGCCCATCCATGCAGCCGTCATGAATGAGCAGGGAGAGCAGCAATAATAACCCCCCTAGGCTTAACAGAACAGAACAAGGCAGATATCATTAATGTACTTAATAATATTTAAGTGTAACACTTTATTCAAGATAAAGGAGTCTGATTAGCAAGGAATATCAGAAAGCCAAGTCCTGACTGTGGCGAAAGGAGGAGCTGGGGATGGAGGAGGGTAATTTGCTCGTGAGCAAGCTGAAAAGCTGCTGAATCTGAAAAGCTGCTGAATAATACTGAATAGAGCTTATATAGGAATGCCGCGATAGGTGTCGTATTCCTATAGGTAGATGTGATCAGCTGAGAATCAGCTGATGCAAGCTTGACTCACGTGACCTGCCAGAACTAACGCTAACGCTTAATATCTTTTTTTTAATTACAGTAAAAAGAGTACAAGAAATTAGGGAGAACAGGACAGTGCAAGACATGAATAAATGATGACAGAATTTTATATTTTGGGTGAACTGTCCCTTTAAGCAATTTGTCACCAGCACTCTTATATGAAAAATGTAAATTAAACAAACTGTTACCAAGTCTGTCATTTTAAGTAACAATTTTGGGAAACACTTTAGAGTAGGGAACACATTCACTATTAACTAAGAGTTTTCCTTGAACAAACTTAATTTTCTGCTTATTAATAGTTAGTAAGGTAGTTGTTAAGTTTAGGTATGGGGTGGATTAAGGGATCTAAAATACGGTCATGCAGAATAAGGCATTAATATGTGCTTTATAAGTACTAATAAACAGCCAATATTCTAGT